CAACTGGACATTGTCCGCGTGGTTCCTTTCCCAGCCACTTCTGACTGCTGATTCTCCCCTTCACGTTACCCAATGAACATCCTTCAAGAACTCTGGGCTGCTACCCAGAAATCGTTTTACCCTTGGCTCAATCCTCTAAGCTAACCCCCTTCTACTGAGCCTTCAGTCTTGAATTTCTAAAAAAACAGAGGCCATGGCAGAATAATCTTTGGGTAACTTCAAAACGGGGCAGCCAAACCCATGAGGCAATGTCAGGAACAGAAGGATAAATGAGGTCCCAGGCAGAGAATCATACTTATCAAGGTTTTACCTGTGCATTACTAATAGGCCTCTTTAAGAGTTAGTTTCTTTGGGATTGCTATGAATGATACCCTGAATTTGGCCTGCACTAATCTGATGTTTACACGTGGACACACAACGTGCAAATCAATGAGTACGTTTCCTGAGAAGTGTCTAAGAACACCAAAAAGGGATCCGTATATTCAGTGTTTATGGAAGGAAGGAAAGAAAGAAGGAAGTGAAGAGGGAGAAGGGATGGAGGTCACACTAGTAGAATGTAACTGTGGAAAGGAGCACATCAGGCCGGGCACGGTGGCTCAGGCCTGTAACCCCAGCTACCTAGGAGACCAAGGTGGGAAGATCTCTTGAGGCCAGGAGTTTGAGACCAGCCTGGGCAGCATAGCAAGACCCATCCCTACAAAAAATTAAAAATTGGCTGGATGTAGTGGCATATGCCTGTAGTCCCAGACACTCAGGAGGCTGAGGCAGGAGGATTGCTTGAGCCCAGGAGTTCAAGGCTGCAGTCAGCCATGATGGCACCACTGCACTCCAGCCTGGGCAACACAGCAAGACCCTGTCTTTAAGGAAAAAAAGAAAAGAAAAGCATACCAGCAGTCCTCAAACATTAACCAAAATCTTCAGCATATCAGAACCACCTGGAGGCCTTGTTAAAGCAGTTCGCTGGGCCCGTCTCCAGAGTTTCTGAGTTGTCAGTCTGGAATAGAGCCAAAGGTTTTGCATTTGTAACAATTCCCAGGTGCTGTTGCTGCTACTACTATTCCAAGGAACACACTTTGAGAACCATTGTGCTATCGCTCTGCACGCCCACCCACTCTCAGCTCCCACAGAAAAAATCAACTTCCAGAGCTATTTCGGTGGAAGTCCTGGTTCCATATCTGGTGTCAGATCTCCCCTCACGAATCAGTTGAGTCAGCATTCTAGCTCAACAACATCACATGGTTAAGATTAACGAAAATTATTCATTCAGGAAACTATCAGCCAGTTTTCATTTCTGAAGGGGCAGGAGAGTGTTATGAAAAATAACGGGCAGTTTTCAGCAGGGTCCAGATTCAGATTAAATAACTATTTTCTGTCTGTTCTGTGACCAACCACATACAAACAGACTCATCCATGCACCCTCCCCCTCCACCTTCAGGTATATGTTTTCTGATTAAAGTTGAGAAGAATCTCAGACCAGAAAAAAAAATATCTATATTTAAATCTTACTTGAGTAGAATTGTATTACTCCTTTTGGGTGTTGAGGGGTCTATAAGATCAAAACTTTTCCATGATAATACTAAGATGTTATTGACCATTTCACTCTCCTTCTCTCAAAAGTGTATGGTGGAATTTTCCAGAAGCTATGTGATATGTGATGATGTCATCACTCTGCTGTTAGCATACAATCAATTTATTGCTATTGTTTATAAAAGAATAAATGATATTTTTAAAAAACTCTTGGTTTTTATTATAAATATGGTAAGTATTGCTAGCTATAATTTACATAACCAAAAATGCTTTATAGTTTTTTGGGTTTTTTTTTGTTTTGTTTTTGTTTTTGAGATGGAGTATTGCTCTGTTGCCCAGGCTGTAGTGCAGTAGCGCAATCTTGGCTCACTGCAGCCTCTGCCTGCTGGGTTCAAGTGATTCTCCTGCCTCAGCCTCCCAAGTATCTGGGACTACAGGCACCCACCACCAAGCCTGGCTAGTTTTTGTATTTTTAGTAGAGATGGAATTTCACCATGTTGGCCAGGCTGGTCTTGAACTCCTCACCTCAAGTGATCCACCCACCTTGGCCTCCCAAAGTGGTGGGATTACAGGCGTGAGCCATAGCACCCAGCCTGGTATCCTCCATAGTTTTTAATAGTTTTAAATAACATGCAAAGGTCCTGTCAAATGGCCAACAAGCATATCAACATCACTGGTCTTTTCAGAAATGCAAATCAAAACCACAATGAGATACTACTTCATACACATTAAGATGACTTTAAGAAAAAGACTAGGAATGCTCACAGATGGCTGGTGGCAATGTCAAAAGGTGCAGCCACTGTGCAAAACAGAGTCTGTTTTGGCAGTTCCTCAAAAAGCTAAGCATAAATTTGTCCTATGACCCAATTCTATTCCTAGGTACACACCCAAACAACACAAAAACATGTGTCTAAACACAAACTACGACTGTTTATAACAGCATTATTCACATTCACCAAGAGGTAGAAACACCCAAATACCCAACAACAAATGAGTGGATAAAGACCAGGCGTGGTGGCTCACACCTATAATCCCAGCACTTTGGGAGGCCAAGGTGGGCAGATCACTTGAGACCAGGAGTTGGAGATCAGCCTGGCCAACATGGTGAATCCTCATCTCTACTGTCTCTACTAAAAATACAAAAAATTAGCTAGGCATGGTGGCACGCATCTGTAATCCCAACTATATGGGAGGCTGAGGCATGAGAATCCCTTGAACCCGGGAGGCAGATGTTGCAGTGAGCTGAGATGGTACCACTGCACTCCAGCCTGGGTGACCAAGGGACTCTTCCCTCCAAAAAAAAAGAATGGCTAAGCAAATCATAGTATATCCCTACCAGTGGAGTATTAGCCACAGGAAGGGATGAAGTATTAATCCATGCTGCCATTTAGATGAACCTCAAAAACATTATGCTGAGTGAAGGAAGCCAGACACAAAAGGTCACTACAGTATGACTCATTTTATATGAAATATCTAGAATAGGCAACTCCATGGAGACAGAAAGGAGATAAGTGTTCGCCAGGGGATTTTTCTGGGGTGGTAAAAAAGTTTTGAAACTAGAGAGAGGAGGTAGTTGCACAACGTGTTGAACACATGACAGCCACTGGATTGTATACTTTATCATGGTTAATTGTGTGTTATGTGAATTTCACCTCAACTTCCTAAAAAGGAGATCCCAAGACCAAAATATTTGAATATTGCTTATCTTATTCAAGATTCTCAAAGAAGGGTCCAGAAGGATCCTCCTGAACTCTTTATGGTGACTTCAGTATTCTATTAAGTGAGTTATCAGGAGACCCTGAATTTTTGTTTTCAAACACTAAAATGAGCATATTACTAAAGTTTATGGAAGACTCCAATTTGGTATTCTATCAAGAACATAAAATTTGCGTAGCTCCCAGGAAAGGCTGCTGTTCCTGATGCATCACCAGAACTATCGTGAACTGGTTTTAGGTTTTACTCACTGGTATTCCTTCAGCTAAATGATGAATTCCTGCCAGTGATTTTCATGGAGGGGTTGTGTTGGCTGACTGCCAATGTGCATAATCAATTAATTTGCTGTGGGTTGAAAACCTGAACAAACTGAAAGTCAATAACTCTTCTTAGGTCTGTAGAAATAACAGTACAGGGTAGCTCACTGTCCTCAATATGGGAGAGGCAGACGGGCTGATACAAGGAAATCACAACTTCCCGGAGCAGAAGCCCAGGAACAAACCTTGCTGGAGGCTCAGTGTGGACACTTCTGAGAGACGAAAATTTCAGGGGAGCAGCCCAGTCACAGGGGGTCCCCACTTTCATGACCTTTCCCTCCAGGAACTCAATGAGGTCTTCACAGTGAAGATGGGAGAAAAACTTCCTTGTGCTTTTGACAGGAGAAAGAGAAAAGGTAGTGACGCGTGTGTCCGTGTGAAGAGAGTCCACCAACAGGCATTG